CCTGAACGAGAAAAGTTGGCAGTAAGGTTGAGACACCAGTTTGAAGATGCATTATTCATCATTACATTGTAAAAATAAAATCCAAAAAAAGTTAATATTTGTAGTAACAGGAGTTGACAGACTGCCGTAGGGTGTGAAATTTCTATAATTTTTTCAAAGACCTATAATTTTCAAAACACATATATAAAATGCTTTTAAATATTTTTCTGATAGCTGTTATGACTTTGCCTATCACCCGGTTTCGGCTTGACGTCGACTTCTGGGACACCCTGTATGTCTTTTACGATGTAGTACGGATAGATTAGTCAGCCTGACCGGTTCGCCGGGCGGTGAGCTTAGATAGCAAGAGTACGCGGGTGGAAAATATTTCTATGTTAAAGACAAATGTGCCGGGAAATCTAAGATCTGTTAAATATGGCCAATAGGTTCATAGTATTGATGAGGGTTGAGAACGTATTTAATATACTGCGATAAAAAAAATTCCAACCCCTACAAAAATGTTTCTGAAATTAATCTGAAACGTCAGAAAACGATATTTCAGCGATTTTTATTTGTTCCGTTTTTGGAATTTTTTTTCGTCCTTGCCATAGTAGCAACCTTGTGTGAAAATTTTATAAAAATGCAAGCGGTACTTCTCAGGTTATAGAAGGGCTAAGGATTAGACAGACAAACAGATCGACAGACATTTACCTGTCAGATAACATCCATAAAACACAATATCTCATTTTCTAAATTTACAATACTTCCTCGCCTAGTCGCGTAGAAAGTAAAAATCTTAACTATCTAATAGCTGGAATGATCTACACGATAACTCATCAAACTGTATTGATGCAAAAACATTTACTTGCACAGTAAACAATTTTTCATTAATGACAGGTTTGTTAGACGATATCCCTCGTTGCTTACTGGCATAATTCATAAATAATTTTCTAATAATTATCGGCTGGCATAGTTAATTGGGAACCTTGAAATATTCTTCGAATTGTTTTCAGGTTTGTAAAATGTTTTGAAAAGGTGACAAGTGTCATAAAAATTAATGGTGTGAACGTGTGGCACAACAAACATCGGATAAGGATATCTAAATCATGTAGTTTTAACTGTTGATTGATATTCTATAAAAATTACAAAATTGCTGTGAGGAAGCTCATAATTTTGGAGTTTTTGTATGCACTATACATACTTATACAGGGTGTCCCGAAAAAAGTGTGCAATATTCTACCAGAGGTTTCTAGAGGAAATGTATTTATGTAATATTTACCAATTATTAAATTAGTTTTTTCGTTGCCATGGCTAATTATTCAATAATTAATTTAAATTCGCAGTACATTTCCTATCATGTGACAAATTTTTTAGTTTGATTTTATTCAAAAATGGCACAATTTATCGATATTCAATAAGAGTACCTTTTTATGTAGAAAGCCCTAAATTTTCAAATTATAAAATTGAATTTCAAAAATAGATTCACCCAAAAATTTTGGAGCTAAAATAAACTGTTGCATACGCTTCCAAACAAAACTGTTTAAAATTGTCAATATTTTTAAATCCAGCATAAAAAACTAGGCTAGAATAGCAAATTTTATGTCTTTATCTCAAGTCGTTTCGGAAATATTAAGGAAAAACCATCTTTAGGGGAGCCCCTTTACAAGACCGTAGCGACGTTAGGGGACGTTTGTCGACCTATGTTTATATACACTTTTCCTCCTATTTTAAGCTCTAGAAACCGCTGGTAGAATATTGCACACTTTTTTCGGGACACCCTGTATATTTCGACCTTGTTCAGGGGAGACTCTTTTCTGTATAGTAGGAACTCTACGGAAGAGAGGTATTATGAATATATGGTTAGATAAAATATGTTTTTATTTGTGCTTCCTAATATGCGTTAAGTTGCTATGAGTGAATGTTTATTCTAGTATCTAAATACATGATGTTGTCATCACTCTGTATAGTATTCATGTATTCAGACATTTCATGCACACATCTGGTATACGCATTATCCTGGTTATTTTTATTTCACCCTTTTAGTGTAAAATCTAGCTAATAATACGCGTAGTGCCGATAATTCAATATACAGAGTGATTCATAAGTCGTGACCAAAAATGAAACATCATACACAGGACCGCATTTGTTTTTTCGGTAAAAGTCAAGTCAAACGTCTTTTTCCCATTTTTGAGTGTTGGAATTCAGCAACGATGAGTACGCCGATATCATTTTTGTGTACGGGTTCTGTGATGGAAGTACTTTAACGGCTTCTCGGGAGCATCAACGTAAATTTCTCAATAGACGCCAACCTACTCCAAAGGCTTTTACGCGTTCATTTCTAAGACTTCGGCAATATGGAAATTCCAAATTTCCCGGAGTGAGGCCATGGTGTCCGGCATATTGTTCAAGAGGAACTGGAACTGATTAATTTGTCACTGGTTGATTCTAGTACAAGCACTAGGTGGATTGCAGCCCAGTTACAATGTTCCCAAAGTCTTGCGTGGAGAGTTTTAAATCGGAAGTGGTTACTGCAAATAAATGCATAATCAAAATGCAGATTTTATTGATTTGATTTTGTGGTCAGATGAATCGCTTTTTACGAGGCGTGGTACCTTTAATTCTCATAATGAACATATTTGGTCGTTAGAAAATCCCTGTTCTGTAAGAATCCACTCGTTTCAACACATATTTTCAAGAAATGTCTGGTGCGGCATTTTCAATGGCCAACTGTTTATGCACGTATTGCCACAATGTTTAAATGCACACTCATACTTAGGTTTTCTAGAGAATAACATAGGAAATGTGGTAGATGATGTTCCGTTAGCAACGAGAGTACGGATATAATAATAATAACAATAATTAACGTCTTTTATTTGTAATATTCTTACAGGAGGCGAGATTTAGATTAGATATCTATTCTACCATCTAACCCCCTTAACAATACGAGATGTAAAAAAAAAGAATTTATTGAAAATTAATAGGCACCTGTATACAATAACGAATAATCCAAGTAAATACATAAGGAAAATATGAGGGCACTTATGGGTTACAACCGATTTCGCTACTGATCAAGAAGAACTTCTTTCACTTTTTTCTTGAATTTGGATAATGGATTGGTTTTTTTTTATATTCCAACTACCACGAAGGCCTAAGGCCTAAATACCCATTGGGTACCGTGGGGCTATAGGGGGATACAGGGGAAAGGGGGGGACGCCACACAGCGCACGGCGACTGATCAGGAGACCGAAGAGTCTACTACTGCGGCCACCGCTGCTGCCTATATCTTTTAAACTGCGGTCTAAAGAATTATATGATTTGATCGCATTGTAAATGTATGAATTCTGAAATGAATTGAAAAAGTCTCTCTATATCTAATATTAATACGATGCATATTCCCTCTACGTATGAATTTGTTTACTGAATATGACGGTGTTTTTGAATCAAGAACCTTATGAGTTAGATTTAGGAGCTGGTACTTATACATTTTATCAATTTTCATCCATTTGAGTTCATTAATGGCATTCGATATATGATCATATTTTCTGAGATCATTTACAAGCCTGCAACATGTATTCATAATACTTTGAATACGATTTCTTGTTATAATATCTAAATAGGGATAGTAAACCACTAAGCAATACGATATCTTTGAAAATACGAAATATTCACACAATTGCTTTCTCGCAGATTTATGTAATATAGCCTTATTTGCAAATAAAACTCTGAGAATAGCGTAGCACTGAGTAATTAGATAGTTCACGTGTGCAACAAATTTTAAGTCATCATCCATTATAATACCTAGGTTTTTCGAATGATCCACAGGAATTAATTTATTACCTTTTAAATGTATGTCTATGTCCTTTTTTGAGGTATTCTTTTTTGTTCTATTTGCGTATACCAACATATTTGTCTTCAAAGTGTTCAAACGAAGATTATGACTACTACTGAACTTTTCAATTTGAGCAAGATCTTGATTAATTTTATTATTTGCCGTTTCCAAGTCATTACTCCTAAATGAATAGAAAATTTGAGTATCATCTGCAACAAATTGTATGCTGCATGATTTTACCTCTGTTTCTAAATCTGAGATATATAATGAAAATAATAGCGGTCCTAAGACTGATCCCTGTGGTACACCAGAACAAATTTTTTGTTCCGTAGAGTACTGTTGATTTAGACGAACTTTTTGATACCGATTTTCAAGGTAGGTTTGAATAAACGAAAGATGTTTTTTTTATGGTATCAGCAGGACGGTGCCCCACCTTATGTTCGTCGTGACATAAGCGCGTGGTTAAATAATCATTTTAGACAACGTATGCTGAACAAATTAATACAGATGATCAGTTTCAAGAAAGAAAAGATAATGCGTTTCATCAAATTAAAGCCACAACAAATTTTGCGGAAATACGCTTTTCTTTATTAAAAAAATGCCGCACTTGTATCCGTAATGGTGGCCTTTTTGAACATTTATTGAAATAAAGCTTTGATTATTTAATTTGATTTTTTTTTATTTTTAAAACAATGCACTCTAGGAAAAACACAAGAATAATTTTTTCGAAAAAACAGTGGCGTATTATATTTATTTGGAAAAGTAAAGCCACTAAGCCCCTGAATCTCCGCTCCTGGTGCACGCTAATTTTAAGTAAAGGTTTTTGACGGTTTTGAAGATATTGAAAAAAATGGTTTTTTATTTTTAAACTTCGGCACCCCGTATCGTTTTAATGAATCCCTCGAGGAAGAAATGTTACATAGAAGAGCCCCCTTAAAATGCGGTCCATGTGTATGATATTAATTTTTGGTGACGACTTTGTGAATCTTAATGGGCCATACATAATTTTTGTCCGGTTGTGTTAAAACAATTTATTTGCCAGAGCGTGAAATATTCTCATAAGACAAACATACAATTTTCACCATTCCTAAGAATTAACGTACAGTTGCTGTTTTGTATTACAAATCAATTTTATGTGTCTTTTGTGTTTTTTGTGTTTTGTTAATTAAGTTTTTCTTTTGTTTTGTTGTAGCATCCGTTCCGGTGGAGCCAATGGTTCCTCTTCCGGTACCGATGCCTCCTGTCGGTTTCCAGTTAGTCCGTGACCCTACCACTGGAGGCCTACTTCTATTACCAACCACAACCGGAATAGGTTCGTTTTTGTTCCATTTTTATTTATTTTCATTTAAACATGCAATATACACACATGAAAAAATTACACATCCTAAACGTACTGATGAATCCCGATAAGGATAAAACGGCTCCCCATATGGTTGATTGGAAGTACGAGAGCCACATTCGCTTTTGCTGTTGTTAATTATTTTTCGTTCGTTAAATATTTTTTGCAATGCGTTCTTATATTACCAGTTTCTCAATACTTAAACCAATGTATCATTATCAGCAGAAGAACTACTAACAGAAAAGTTCAATTTTTCGTTCAGATATTAAAATTGATTCTGGCGGAATCTGCAGTAACTATTAACATTTTGAAACCGGAAATTCGCCCAATCAACAACGTGCCCTTAAAGGAAGCTACTGGAAATGGGAATTTTCAACATCCTGTAATATAAGTGCTATATTTTAGTTGATATAATGTATTCCTGCTCTTTTAATATATTTTAAAAAGAGCTGTTTCTGCGACAAAAAAATAATTTTATTTCAGCACCATGTCAAGCCGCACCACATCACAGCCGATCCCAAAAGTGTTCTACAAAAATCTAAAACTTGGTTAAGTAATTTCAAAATGTATATCCTGATGCGATTTTTCGTGTCGCTGATTACGATTCTGTTTTTAGAATCACTATCATTTAAAAGGGAAAGAAAACAAAAACAGCCTACCTTAACGAAACCCAATAAGGCTCCGGTCCCTGAAATGTCCGAGTTTAAATTTTGAACGTGTTTTTCCATTTGAAGACAACCCCTCCTGAATCCACTCTTTCAAATTCATTATATAGACTCCCCAAATATATTTTCTAGATCTGCTTCAAAAAGGGGTTTCGTTTTTCGATCTAAGCGAGTAAATTATGTATGAGTTGAGAAAACTTGGTGGTGTGGAGGCTCAAATGATGACACAAAAATAAAATATTCAAGTGTATTAACAAATAAAAGTACAATAAAATAGTTACTTTTTGGGCCAGGAAGGCCCAGTCCTCCGAAGAGAGATTCGCCTCGGGTGATCCCAGGACGAGAATAATCACACATGCCAGCTCATCTAGTTTTTATAAACTGATAGAAGATTATTTGCCGACGATGTGCACATTTCTCAGCGGATGCGGTTTAGGGTATCTATCGACCTATGTGGCGCTGTGACGCGTGTAAGATGCTACAGAGTGGTCACTCTTGACAATCTTCAGATGTGAAGTCCAAACTATAATAGTTGTTATGCTGTTTTGTTGGATTATGCTGTATTGTTCAGAAGCTATTTAAGAACCACTAATTTCCACCGGCATTCTTTGGGGGCTTGTACAGTCCAGGAAGTATTTTCGCATCCGCTTGAAAAAATATTATTCATATCCGGTTTTTCTGCATAAGCCCATTCAGAAAGGACCACTATCAACGAATTTTCCAAGCCCAAAATTCCTTCAAAAATTGTTCGCATATTTTTTTAATCAAAATTGTTTTTTGTCATCCTTAGCAAAAATTAAATATTCAGGAACGTTGGCGACATTAACATTGTTAAAATAATTTTTTATATTGTTTTTTTCGGGGTTGAAAATGACACATTATGCACTTTTTCAAATATTAAACCACTGATATCTCGAAAAATATCAACTGTAGAGAAGCGTTCCTAAGAACCTTTTTCGTTCAGAATGATACTACAAGAAAAAAAAAAAACATTTTTGGGATTCGTTTAAAAAACTTGTAATAATTTTTTATGCTATTTTGAATATAGTATTTTTCAATGGTAAGCTTATTCAAAAATTGTTCGAATATTTTTTTAACAAAATTATTTTTTTGCCCCGGGTATAGTTTTTCGACGTTTGGGGTCATTCTAACCAAAAACTAAATATTTAGGATTTTTGACGTCATCAAAAATGTTAAAATAATATTTTCATGTTGTTTTTCGAGGTCGAAAAGGACGCATTTTTCAATTTTTTACATCATAAATCGCTTATAACTCGAAAAATATCAACTTTCGAGAAAAGTTTATAACCTTTTTCTTTCAGAGTGATACAAAAACACTGCTCGTAGCGAAAAAACATTGTTTTGAATTTGTTTGAAAACTTGTTTAAATAATTTTTGAGACTGTTTTACTGACAAAAGTTTCATTGGATTATAAAGTATTGTTAAAAAGCACTGATTTCCAGTAGGGGGATTGTATTTACATCTGTATAGTCCAGGAATTTCTCTAACAATATCAACCTAAGAGAAAAGTTCATAAGAACATGTTTCTCTCAGAATGATCCAAAAACTACTCGGAGCAAAAAAAACATTTTTTAGGATTTCTTAAAAAACTTTGCTTTAATAATTTTTGACGCTATTTTGAGTGAATTATTTTCCAATGATATATGAAGTCCCAACTATAATAGTTGTCAAAGTTTCGTTGGATTATTCACCATTGTTCAGAAACTATTTAAGAAGCACTGATTTCCAGTGGCGTCCTTTAGGGGATTGTACATCCGTTTAGTCCAGGAAGTACCTTCGCATCCGCTCCAAAAAACTTCTTTTTCCCTACGATTGTTCAAAAATAAACCCTTTCAACGAATATGCGTGCTGCCAGGCCTAAAATTGCTTCAGAATTTATTCGAATATTTTTTTAAACAAAATTGTTTTTTGCCCCCAGCATATGTTCTTTATGCTTTTTAGGTAATTCTAACCAAAAAGTAAATATTTAGGAACTTTGGTAACATTGAAATTGTTAAAATGTTTTTTCATATTTTTTTTTTTTTGGTGTTGATAACACATTTTGCACTTTTTCAAATATTAAATCGCCTATATCTGAAAAAATGTCTACTTTAGAGGAAAATTCGTGAAATACTTTTTCGTTCAGAATGATACAAAAAAACATAAAAACTCTGCTCGAAGCAAAAGAAAACTTGTTTTGATAAATAATTTTTGATACAATTTTAGAGAAAAGTTCATAAGAACCTTTTTTGTTCAGAATGATACAAAAAGTCTCAAAAAGTTTTGCTCAGAGCGAAAAGAAATTTTTTGGAATGTGTTGCAATAATTTTCGACCCAATTTTGGGCCTAGTACAATGCAGATTGGTTGAAAGGGATCCTTTTTGAATAATATCATGCAAAAAACTAAATCATAATATTTTACTGGATGGATATTTCCTGGACTAGGAACCAAGTGGTATTTCGAAAATTGTCAGAGGATAAAAGAAATAATTCAGTGAATCAGTTTTTGCTGAATATATAAACTCAAATCTCGTGTTATCTCTTCTAGAATCCCTGCAGCAAGCTGTCGTCTGGCCCAGCTACCCTCAACCATCCGCTGGAGTATTACTGCCCTCCCTTCCGCCCATACCCCCACCGCCCCTCCAGCTACTTTCCTCCGCATCCTCCGATTATCTGTCGAGTAGTACCACCTTGCACCAACACACCCAGACCCACAGTACCAGGCTGGTGGCCGTCACCACGGACACGAAGAGGAAGTTTCCCATGCCGCTCCCTGCCACAACTTTGATCAAAATCGAGACGGACGCCACTCTTGATCAGACCAAGACGTTGCAGGTATGGGTGAGATGAATTCCACATTCTGTAATATATCTTCATTAAAAAGGGTATAGTCTGGCACCGAAAAGGAAGAGATCAGCAAAACACATTGAGCGCAAAACTCATCGCACGCCACTGCTGGTGTGATGTGCATTTCAATGGTCAAATAGATGCCGTTCTGCGAGGTGTTTTGCTGCTCTCTTCCTTTTCGGTACCCGAGTATGGTGATCTAGAAGAAGTAAAGTTCCAGAATTCGGCATACAGCAAATGCGAGTTCAAGTGCCGTCGTCGCCTAGAGTTTCTTTTATTGAATTTATAAAATTTTAAACTTCAACAATTAATCTTTTATTCATTTTTACTGAAAGTTTCTATTTTTTAAGGCTGTGAGCACCGTTGCAAACAACAACAGTGGGACCGTATTCGCTGATCAAAGCATGACACCTCTGGTGACAACTCATGTCATCTACCAGCATCCTACTAATCTGATCCTCTCCCAAACTCCTACGGCTGAGACATCGTGCAGATCTCAAGCCACTTCGCCTGTCACATATTTGACACCGCCTCCAGATAACCATGTTCATGAGGAAGAGCACACGGTGAGCAGTTTTACGTCAATCTTGCTTCTTTTCAGATATCGGATTATCCTACTTACAGATACGCGGGTGACAGCACTTTACATGCGAGCATACGGATTTGTTGAATTTCGTTTCTATACTTACTCGAAAAATGTTGGTGCTGCATGTGTTAAACTTTGTATATATATATATAACTTGAGACGTGGTCATTGTCGTCTAGACCAGTTAGGTGAAAAATTAAAGCTTCCGCCTTTTGTTGGGTACTTCGACAAAATTTAAGCAAAGAGGACTCTTTATACCTTTTTTAATTCTCTCTAGCTTTCAATGGACTTTGCCATCATCATCAGGAGCTGCAATTACAATGATAACAGTAGCAACAAAAGTGTAAAATGAATTTAGATTGACTCAACTTACAGTAGTATGTGAGGATGTTGCTAATTGTTGTTTACGTATAGGATGAGGGAAACGTCCAGTAACATGGTGAGAGCTGGATAGATTGTACAATGGTCAAAATTATATAAAATATGACAAGAACAAGTTAAAAACAGATTATATATATATATATATATATATATATATATATGCGAGCGATGGTTTTATAATTGCAACAAGTACTCTCATCCACGCTTTCGTTTTTAAACACCACTTGGCTGCAACCTCAGCTACGGCTCCTGATGATGGCTCCATAGCTTGCCGAAAGCTCGAGATTACTTAAAAGAGTACACCAATGCCTAAAATTTTCACAATTTCCCAATTAATATTCAATTGTATTTCTTGTTCAACTGGTCGTTGGCAATGGCAATAACTACTGCTCGTATATATATATATATAGCGCCAAACTTTTATGAAATCATACCTAAAGGTTTAAAAGATTTACATTTCGGAAATTGTTTCAAACGAAATTTAAAAATGTGGCCAGATTCTATTTCTAGGACTGAAATTCATAAACTCATAAATACGAACATCAAGTTAATACATAATCTACTGTGACTAATTTTTGTCCTTTTTTGTCATTTGCATTCTACAATTGCAACTTGAAATTATTGGTCCATGTACAGGCAATGCCTTCTATTGGGCCTGTGTTGATCCTATATTAATTTATTTACTCATGTTGTTTGTTCTCTTTGTACATTGAGTCCATAAATATTAATTATTATTTAAGTTGTAGTATGTCTATAGCTTAATCAACTTAATTTCTGAATTGCTTTTTTGTGGAACAATATATATGATATAACTCCCGAAAAATAAATTAAAAAAATCAAGGGGTTCACGGCATAGACACACTTCAACTTAATATGGAAACCGATGGTATAGATATTTTTCGATTACGGGAATAATGTTAAAGACATTGGGCTAAAAACATCGAAATTGAATAAATCTCAAAAAACCATGTAAAGGCGACATATTTGCATGAATTACTATAAAACATCACACAATTTTGACCACATAAGAGCGAGATTTCAAAAACGTGAGAAACCATAGTAAATTATTGATCAATGTATTCTCCAATAAGGTGCATATGCTGCATTTGGATTTCACATACAATTTCCATCGTTAAAGCCATGTTGCCAGAAGTAACAAAAATACGTTCTAAATGATATTTTTTATTCTTAAACATAACATCGGCCTTCCAAGGAAAGATCACTCCTCAATCTCATATTTCATATTCTTAGAATTTTGTCCACGATGAAGAAAACTCCGTCAGCTAAGAGGTGGCAACGCTGGTGCCTAAAGACGGTGGTCGTAGTTCTAAGCATATTTGGTTTTGGTGCAATGGGACATTGTTTATTTTTGCTAGTGGAATATAATCCATGATTAAATCTACTGTGTATTCCATAGACTGTTCAAGATGCTAGCAACCAGACAGACAGCCCAATCTGCAGTGAAGATGATGCAACAGTACACACTCTTGCCGACGTTGACGATGCCAAATGTAAATCTGCGGAAGAACCCGACGAAGAAAAACTTCCCGAAGAAGTACCCGTAGAAGAACCATGTGATACAACGGAACCAACAACGACCACTTTTGAAGAAAAGACAAACGAAAACGTAGAACTAGTCGTCGAATCAAGTGTAGTGGATCAACCGGTGACAACTGAAGAACCCAAACCGATGATAACAGAGGAAGACGAAGACGTCGAAGCTGCACCCAAACCTGACTTGAGCGGGCTAGAATTGTTATCGAATAGCATAGTCCAGTTCGAGTCATGCAGAAATTCTATAGATGAGGATCCGGATGCTAGCACGAGTGCTTCATCACAGGAAGATTCGTCATCGGTACTTAATACATCTGAAGAAACAGTAGTACAGGTAAAACCCTAATTTTGAAATTTTACAGTATCTATACAGTCACAAGGTGGCTGCTAGCCTCATTTTCAAAAATTTACGGTAAAAAAACCCCAGAGAGAGAAAGAATGCTTAAGCAAATGCAAAAAAGATAAAATCTAAAGTGATATCCCCCAAAAATGTATCCCTTGTTCTAAAATCTAAAATTAAAATCGTGATCAATGTAATATAGCAAGCCCAAAAGAATTTGCCATGTAGGGACTGCCCTATATTTAAATACGTAAAATCCTAAACAAAATCAAGAACACTCTAAGAATTTCAGTCAGCAATAATTAATATACTAATATCTATAAAATATCCAATTAAAATGATATTTAACTTGTTCACGTCACGGTTTTTTGTCAAGGGGAATGGGTGGCTTCTAGCAAAATCGGCTGTAAACAGCTACAATGCAGCTACAAAACAAAGCTGGAGAGTGTGAATGGTGGTACTTAGCAATGCCTTTCCACTAAAAGGAAGCAGATATTGAACAAACTTCTTCAGGACATGCATTAATGGACGTGGTCCGATGGTATACAAAAAAGGTACTTACCGCTGGAGGTTAAAATCCCACTAGAAAATGGACGGGGTAGCACCCAAACCAAAACGACTAAACGTGAAGTACAACATAAAAGGGTACTACTCCATAATCTGGTGTTTAGGGCAGTAATACCCCAGAATATATAAATCATTACCAACAAAACGACCCACGCACAACTAAAACTACAACGGAAAGCAAAAGAAAACATGGCACTGGACGCGTCTGTACACCAAAGTTTTTAAAACAAGGTATCTCGATAGGATAGCAAATATTATATAAGTTAGTAACTATATATATGGTACTATAACATTAGTGCCCAAAAGATTTCAATAATACTGAGTCGCTGAGAAAGACAGTCATAATACGTGTGAAATTATACAATTAATAAACTGAGATTTACCAAAAGAAAATCATTGAAAAGGATTGGCCTAGGAATCGGTACTCTATAATCAATAAAGAGAAATTCAAATTACTAAGTGATTAAAATAGTAAAAAAAAGGTTTCGTGATTTTGGCACGTGACACAAGACACCGAATAAATTAGCGAAGCATCAGCAGCATTTACCGCGAAATAACATCAAATCTTCAAGTTTGTTATTGCTATAAGAATGTGCCATTTACGATTTCTTCGAATCCGATGAATAAACAAACACTCCGGGTTACCTATACGACGCGCGGCGCCTGGGTTGGTTACTCACATACGCCGTAACTTTTCATCTAATTCATTGGGTTACACGGCCGGATCTGATATCGCAGATTTTTTTCGTCACCTAATAACATGGTTATCATAAGAATTTAGGGCATGTATAGGGACCATAAATTTTAAACAAAAAATACACTTTTAAGGAAAATCACCACTGATACTTAGAGCAATTTTTTGTCTAAATCTAACACATTTTCAATCGAACAAAATAAAGGTATTTATGTTTTATAAGAAAAGATTTTTAAAAAATATGTATTTGAATATTTAAAAGTTAACTTTCCTTTGACGTGCCAGCTTGAAAATTTGGATCTTCATTTTGGTACCGTTCGTACTTTTGGAAACTATGAATTGCTTTTGAAATTTGTTTGAATCGTTTTTTTTTTCTAGTCAAAACCGCAGCAGCAGGAAGACAATTTCGGAGGGCTCGACCTCTTGTGCGCGTTGGCGGAGCAGCGAATAATGGAAGAAATCGAGAAACCAAAAGACAAAGAGCGGTCGAAAGAAAGAAAAAGAGAGAAACGAAAATCGAAGAAACATTCCTCCGACGAACCAAAACGGAAGAAACTGAAGAGCAGCAAACACCATAATCGCGAAGATAAAGAAGAACGGAAAAGACGCAAAGAAAGACATTCTAGTGATAAGAGTAGCGAGTCCGAGAAAGAGAAGAAAACCTGTATGTGCCAAGAAAATTATCATAAGTACCAAACGCCCGAGTCGGAAGAAGAAGTGAAGAAATTCCTAGCGAGTAAGTCTCAAAGAATGTGCTGTAAAGGAGAATGGCCGTGCATGAACGCGATGGAGTTGGATATGAGGATCAAGTTGGCAGAACTCCAGAGAGAGTACAGGGAGAAGACCAAGGAGCTGAGCAAGTTGAAGCCGAAGAGGCATTCATCAGACTGCAAGAAAAGGTATGCAAGTAGAATCATGTTATCTTTTGTCCTTCAGTAACTCCGATGGACATGTGTATCTTTGAAGTTCAAATATGAAACATATACAGGCTAGTTTATCCATCTTGTCATTCTATTCGTGCTTTTCATACATAGTCCAATCATTTGGTGCTAAAAAAGAGGATTCCTCGGAAGTTTTGGGTGAGATATCTTTATAGATTTTAAAAAAAATCTTTATTCAACTTTTAATATTCATAAATAAAGTGTTTAGAACACTGGCCTAGAACAACAATATTCAAAGTCCGAATTTTAACAACAATAAATTCATCAATTCTTTTGAGTGTTTTTACATAATTTGTGAATAAATGTATATTCCTTACACTATTTGGAAGATTATTATCAATTTTTACTGCATCAGTGACAGGGTTATTTAATTCTGACTTAGTACTAGTATGAATCTGGTATAAATTATTGTGTGATCTTGTTTCATAGTCATCCACACCATGTGTGATCAGAATTTTTCTATTACACTCTTGTTGGTTATTTAAAATTTTGTAAATCATATTACATTGTTCGAATTCACAGTTTCGTTGGAATATACAGCATTGTTAAGAAGCTATTTAAGAAGCACTGATTTCCAGTGGATTGTACATCAGTATAGTCCAGGAAGTACCTTAGCATCCGCTCGAAAAAATATTTATTTTTTGCCTAGGATTTCTCAAAAAGAACCCATTTCAACGAATCTGCACGAAGCGCCTAAAATTGCTTCAAAAATTATTCGAAGATTTTTTTAAACAAAATTGTTTTTTCGTCCCCAGCATGTTTTCTTTAGGCTTTTTGGGTCATTCTAACTAAAAAGCAAATATTTAGGAACTTTGGCGATATTAAAATTGTTAAAATGTTTTTTCATATAGTTTTTCGGGGTTGAAAATAACACAAATATTAAATCGCCTATATCTAAAAAAAATTCTACTTTAGATGAAAATTCGTAAGATACTTTTTCGTTCAGAATGATACAAAAAACACTGCTCGAAGCAAAAAAAAACATTTTTTGAATTTGTTTCGAAACCAAATTGCTTAAAAAATTGTTTCATTCCAACCAAAAAGTAATTTTTTTTTTCAACGAATCTGCATTTTTTAAACAAAATTGTTTTTTCGCCCCCAGCATGTTTTCTTTAGGATTTTTAAAACATTCTAACCAAAAAGCAAATATTTAGGAATTTTGGCTACATTGAAATTGTTAAAATGTTTTTTCATATAGTTTTTCGGGGTTAAAAATAACATTTTCCCCTTTTCAAATATTAAATCGCCTATATCTAAAAAAATTTCTACTTTTGAGGAAAATTCATAAGACTTCTTCGTTTAGAATGATACAAAAAAACATTAAAACTCTGCTCGGAGCAAAAAAAAAGATTTTTTGAACTTGTTCAAACTTAAAATTGCTTAAAAAAATGCCCGAATATGTTTAAACAAATTTAGGCTTTTCTGTCATTTCAACCAAAAAGTAAATATTTGGAAATTTTGCCGTAATCAAAAATGTGAATATATTTTTTTCATAGGTCGAAATTGACACATTTTCAGCTTTTTCAAATATTAAATCAACTTCTATCTCGAAGAATATCAACTTGAGAGAACAGTTCATAAGAACTTTTTTCTCTCAGAATGATCCAAAAACTGAGCGAAAAGAACATTTTTTAGAATTTGTTTAAAAAACTTGCTTTAATAATTTTTTACGCTATTTTGCATAAATTATTTTCCAATGTCGCAACTATTGTTTGAAAACGAATCTTTATTCAGAAGTCAATTTTTACAAATTTTATGATAAATAAAGCTCTCAAATCTGTGTTTAGAACACGGGCCTCGATAACAACAATATTTAAAGTGCGAATTTTAACAACAATAAATTCAACAATTCAAGTGACTTGCGAGTGTTTTTAGATCATTTCTGAATAAATGTATATTCTTTACACTATCTGGGAAATTATTATAAATTCATACTGCATCAGTGACAGGGTTATTTAATCCTATATTAGTTCTAGTAGGAATCTGGTACAAATTATAATGTGATTCGAATTTTTGTCCTACACTTTTGCTGGTTATTTAAAATTTTGAAAATTATTTTACATTGTTCTAATTCCAACAGCTTCGTTGGATTATACATTGTTAAGAAACTATTTAAGAAGCACTGATTTCCAGTGGTGTCCTTTAGAAAATTGTACATCCGAATAGTCCAGGACGTACCTTCGCATTCGCTCGAAACAATATTTTTTCAACGAATCTGCATGGTGCGCATAAAATTTCTTCAAAAATTATTTGATTATTTTTTTAAACAAAATTGTTTTTTCGCCACCAGCATGTTTTCTTTAGGATTTTTAGATCATTCTAACCAAAAAGCAAATATTTAGGAACTTCGGCTACATTTAAATAGTTAAAATGTTCTTTCATATAGTTTTTCAGGGTTGAAAATAACACATTTTGCGGTTTTTCAAATATGAAATCGCTTATATCTAAAAAAATTTCTACTTTAGAGGAAAATTCTCAAGATACTTTTTCGTTCAGAATGATACAAAACACATAAAAACCCTGCTCAGAGCAAAAAAAACATTTTTTGAATTTGTTTCGAAAATAAAATTACTCGCTTTTTTGGTCGTTTTAACCAAAAAGTAAATAGTTGGGAATTCTGGCGTCATCAAAAACTTATTTTTTCATGTTGTTTTACGGGGACGAAAATGACACATTTTCAGCTTTTTCAAATATTAAATCGCTTATATCTCGAAGAATATCAACTTAAGAGAAAAGTTCATTAGAACCTTTTTCTCTCAGAATGATCCAAAAACTGCTCGGAGTGAAAAAAACATTTTTTAGAATCCGTTTAAAAAACTTGCTTTGTGCTTTGCTATTGTGCATAAATTATTTTCCAATGATATATGAAGTCGCAGCTATTGTTTGAAAACAAACAATAAAGTTCTCAAATCTATGTTTAGAACACTGGGCTCGATAAAAACAATATTTAAAGCGCCAATATTTAACAACAGTAAATTCAACAATTCACTTTTGAGTGTTTTTTACATAATTTCTGAATAAATGTACCTTCTTTACACTATTTCGTAGATTATTATATATTTTTTCTACTTATGTCACAGGGTTATTTAATTCTATATTAGTTTTAGTGGTAACCTTGTTTCATAGTCATGCTCATAATGTGTAATCAGAATTTTTGTATTACACTTTTGCTGGTTATTTAAATTTTTTAAAATCATTTTACGTTCTACTTCGAACAGCTTATCTAGTTTACTAACATTCAGCTCTGTGTACATATTATCCGTGTTGGCAAGTCGGTCATAGTTGAACAAAAGTCTTAATATTCTATTTAGCAAAACTTGTCGTTTATGAAATTCAGTTTTACCACACATTCCCCAAATAGGGAACATATAACTAAAGTGTGGCACGAAAGATGCATTATAAATGATTGTTTTACTTTTTGTAGTTAATTATTACCTGCTTCGGTACAAAGCACCTATATTCGACGATGTTTTTTACAAAAAAATTTAAAAATTCTCATCGATAATTAAACACATGTATTTGATGCTTGATACTTTTCTACTTGGGCCTTATTTATTCTTATACAAAAGTTTTCAACTACTTTTCATTCTTCTTTTTAAAAATTAGATATTATATTTCATCGATGTTGATCTTCAGTTTATTCAAATACAATCATTTTCAGTAAAGAGCAAGATCTAAATTAACTTTATCACATAGCCTCCTCATGATTTCAAAGTGCTTTTTCCTAGTTTTCCCTTTGCTACTCTATAACTTTGCCTCTCGGCACCCATGATTTTATTTCCATCCTCGTTGACCTCTCGATGAGATACCTTGGTGAGATATTACACTCCATTATTTGCTTCAGGTCGAGAAAGAAGTCCACCCACTCTACGCACTCAGAGAGGAGCGAGAGAAGTGAAAGAAGCCTAACACCCCCTCCACTACTGGACAAGATGGACATTCCAGTGAGAGCGAACAAAGACATATCTGAGCTCTTAAAGCCACCCACTCTATGTGCCATTCCGAAAATTGAAGACGTACCCAGGATCAACCAATCGGACACGGATACTAGCCCGGAGAAGCATTCTTCTTCCAAGAAAAGGAAAGTTGGCAGGCCTAAGAAGATGATGTCTTCATCTGGAGAACCTGTGGCGACCGAGACGATAGTAGCGAAGAAACCAAAGACTAGCTTCGTTGGTTATCTCCTCGCTGCTAAAGAGAAGCTTAAGCTCCAGAATAAAGCTTATCCAGATGCCACTCCACCGAGGTATGTTCTTCTTGTAGGTGTTCTAACAAAGAGGGGATTGACCTTACACAAAGAGAGGTTTGAAAAGGGAAAATTCTAGCTTAAATTGGACTAGATAGTAGAGTTAACAGAGTTCTTATTTCAATTTGTGAGAACACTTAAAAACGTTTTTTT